AGGAATTCCCTCTCTTCTATTCCCCGTAAGAATAATCTCTATACTTCTTCCTGCCAACTCCCCTGACCATTTGAAAACGTTACCCTTCTCTACATTCTTCCCTTTCTCCAGAGGCACATGGGAACATGGGAACAATGACCAGTGAAACTGATGACACAGTTCCTAGACTGCAGAAGCCTTCAAAGCAGAATATAGAGTGCACTTTCAAATCTGAATCTAAAAAGAAAAGAAACTTGTACATAAAATACCTGCTGCAGAAGGTATTTTCAGATGTCATCTTAAACAGAATATAACAGTTACAGTATTTTAATATTAGTCTGCTTCAGACATTTACAGCCTTCGCCTCTGTGCATGCAGTTGAACGAAGAATATAGCTTGCATAACTGGAAGAAAGATTTCACAAAAAATCTGAGTATCAAGACAATGAAAGATGATTGTCTGGATAGATGATTCCAACGGGATCTTGAGGGCCCCAAAATATGTAAACAAACTATGGCATGAAAAGGTTTTTCTTACAACATAACACAATTCACGCTCCCAACTTATTTTACACTCCACTGGCCACAGTCGCCATGCATTGGCACCAACTGATTTCATGCTTTACAGGCTGGGAAACAGTCCGCAACTTAGTCTTTTTCACACTCCACTGATGTGGTAACCCCATGGTTCACCAACTTAACTGTTCCAAATTTAATGTTTGCACCTACTGTTGACCACCTCAAAAAGTAGTCAGATCAAAGCTTTAATATAACTGAACAACAGCAATATAATATGTAACAGAAATGTAGAGAGAAAAGTCTGCTACCTGCTCTGTATATATACCTGGTGGTAGGGAGGAGAGAGGAAAACTCCCTCCTAAAATTTCTTTCCCTCACTATACATCTGGAGGTTGGTCTGTCCTTCTAGACTTATTTGAAATTAGTTCCTCTCCTGGGTCTATCCTGGGTTGCATTGATATCCTATACTTGACAATAAAAGAGTTGAAATGAATAAGGTTTTCAGGGCTGTGCCTCAAACCTGACATACATTAAGCTTGATTTTTTTTCCCCTTTAGGATTCACAAACTAAAGCTAATAAACCATTAAGTAAATTTTGAAAGTAGAGACTACTAGGTTTAATCTGTGCTAAGTGTCTTATATATGTTATCTCATTTGACCCCAAGTACATACTAAGAGGTAGCTATTATTTTCTCAATTTTACAGATGAGAAATCTGAAACTTACTTAAGATCACACAGCTTCCAAGTGTTGGTTAGGATTTCGAAGTCCCTGCACTTAACTACTACAGTAGACTAGAATACATGCCTTCTAAAAAATGGGGTAAAACAAAGCATAGCACAGTTTTAAAAAACAGAAATACCAAAGTGCAATAATAACAAAAGAGAATAATTGTAAAGGAGATGGAGTACTTATGTTAGAGATATAGTTACAACAACTCTATGTCTCCTTCCTCTTTGTAGCTACAGTACCAAGTGTGAAAGCCAAACGTGGCTAAGAAACTGAGACACCAAAAGAAGCAAGCTTCATTTTAAAGCAGGCAAAGAAAACATCAGATAATTAATAAAAGCTTCTCTTATACGCAGATTGAAAGTTTATAATTAGAGTTTCAAGAATAACAAACAATTATCTTAGAATACAGTGATATCTTCAGAGAACTGCCCCTTTAAGGATCAGGAAGACTGTACAGAGTGCTACAAAAGGTTTTCAAAGTAGAATAATCTACTGAACAAACATGGCTCAGGTACTAAATCCTATTCTAATCTATTATTTTTATGATACGAAAAGCAAGATAAATGTTAAAGGTTGGTAAAAGCTAACAATAGGTGATGGTATTTTCTTGCAGCAAACAAATATTTATTAAGTGCACATATTGTACTGAGACCTATGCTGGGACAGTGGAAACTGTAAAGTTGGACCACAGGTAAGAACATGGTTTGAACCACATGAATAATGTAGCCTCCTCTTTAAGTTATCTCTACTTAATTGGGAAGATAAGAAATTTTAGAAAAACAAAAAAAGTTGTTTTAAGGTAGTATATAATTGCCAAACAAAGAGAAAAGTTGTAAATGATAAAAAGAAAGCTATCACTTAGGGCCTGGAATAGCTGAAGAAGATGTCATAAGGTAGGAGGAACTGGAAGCTGGTATGTAGACTGAGAATTGAAGGGAGATATTCCAAGTAAAAGGAATAGCCTGAACAATTTGAAGACGCAGTAAGCAAAAAGCATTATTTTGGGACTTCCCTGGTAACACAGTGGTTAAGCAGGGCACACGGGTTTGAGCCCTGGTCTGGGAAGATCCCACATGCCGCCGAGCAACTAAGCCTGTGTGCCACAACTACTGAGCCTGCGTGCCACAACTACTGAAGCCCACGCACCTAGAGCCCGTGCTCCACAACAAGAGAAGCCACTGCAATGAGAAGTCTGCACACCGCAACAAAGAGTAGCCCCCGCTCGCGGCAACTAGAGAAAGCCTATGTGCAGCAATGAAGACCCAACGCAGCCAAACATAAATAAATTAAAAAAATAAATTTTTTAAAAAAAAGCATTATTTTGGAGACAGCTATAGAAACTACTAGAGCCAAGGTTCAATATAGGAAAGTGTGGAACATTCTGCCAGAAAGATTGTTTTCAGCCTGGAGGGCCTTCAACACTAGGTTTAGACATTCAGTACCCCAAGCAATGGAGACTCAAGTCTAGACCATACAGACAATTCCTGAGAAGTGATACTATTACTGTGTCTCTAGTTCTCCATACCTTCCCTTATACCATCTGCCCATTCATTTACCCTGTCATCTTTTTTAATAGGTACCATCAGGTAAATGTGATGAGACAGCACACAATGTTAACACTGACATTTCTCTTATGCTTGCTTAACCCGATAGTATCAATGAGCAAGTGTAACATTTAACCAAAACCCAGAAACAGGATCAACAGGAGGGATGGGCTCCAAAACAATGTGCCCCAAGTCTAATCCCATACTCAGTAACAAACATTACATCTAGGGGAGCAATCAAATACACTTATTTTGTATAGCCATTCTCAGAACCAGAGAAAGAACTGAACCAAAGCCTGCGCCACATTATATTCTACTCCACAATCCAAATAATACCCAGAAACTCATGCCTTGATACCTGATGAAGACTCCTATAGTTGGCCAAGTGTTTCTGAAACAAATAGCTGGTGATATATGTATATGTGTATAAAATCTAATAAACAAATAAGTAACAGGATATACATTTGTCTGAGATAAAAGCCCAGTCATTCTGGATCTAGATAAGGTAACTGGCCTTACTACCACTGTAACAGTTCCTAGAAAAGATAAGACCCATCCCCATTACACTGATTTTTATAGTTTCATTTTCCAGCATGAAGTGATATTTCTAGTCTCTTCAAAACTTTTCAATCCATCCAATCCCTACTCTCATCAATAGAACATCTAACCTTACAGTTTTGAAGACAGAATGAAACAATAACAGCTTGAAAGGAAAAGTAAAACACACTACTTCTACCCCACCAAAACCAACTCCAGCTGTTCGTTTCACAATTGTATCAGCAGAGCTAACAAGGAGAATAGCTACCATTCTAATTGCCCACAGAACCTGAGATGCTCTGCTCTTCTCTCATTTCTCCCCCTTCCCATCTCCTCTGCAACTTGCACACGACCACCTCACTCTGCTGTCCATCCTCCCCAACTGCTGCCCAACAATTCACAGGCTGCCACAGATTGTCAGCACTGTGTTTGGGGACTTCGAGAATTACCCCTGTGGGACAGTGCAGTGTGTTAGGACAGCATTTGCCCGGACACAATGTCGCTCTTTATAGCCAGTTGCAAATTAGTTTCTTCTTAAAAAAAAATAATACTCTCAATAAGACAGGTACAAGGAGATTTTAAATAACCAAGATTAAAACTCACTTGGTTTGCTCTGAGATCTGGGCCGTTTCAGAGTCAGGTACAATAAAATCCCATGCCTCTACTCACACGAGCCATGCACATCATCTAGGAACATCTGAAGTCAGCTTTCCAATGCTAACAGAAGCAAAGAGGCTACCAAAAAACATATCAAAGGAGAATCTTCCTTCCCCTTTTTTCTGTGCCTATGGCTCCTCATCCTTAAATTTTATCTGACAGTACTTTGTTTTAAGCTCAGCTCTCAATATTAACATTAAAAGGAAATTCTGGAAATCACCAGTATCGTTTCATTATAGTTTCCATCCAATTCTTTGCCATGTGCTTCAGCTGCACACAAGTACAGTCATCTTCTGACAGTTGCTGTGCCTGACCCTCTGAAAAATCCTTCATCCTATATATCAGCTTCCCGGTTGCCACTGGCTACACATGAGAGTCAGAAGCTGGAACAGACTGAAAAGATCATCAGAGGATGTGGGGAAGAAAAACCTCTCACAAAACAGCAGGTCATATCAACTTAAGTCTTCTTAGAAAAAGGAATTAATTAAAAATAAACACCTATAGAGTAATATTTTAAAAATTAAAATCAGTTTTACTAGTTATCTAATTAGTTTTCATTTCTAAGTTCTTTGATAGCATTACTCATTCTGCTTTATTATGCTATACTGAGGATTTAATTGCCCATCTAGTCTTCCCGAATCAGTTCATCAAACCTCTACAATAAAACTGCATCTTTGCTGCTCCCTAAGTGAACTACAGGGAAGCTAGAGCTGGACAGGAAGGATGTTAATTCTCAGTTCTTACAGTAGAAAGAGACTGAAAAGAGCAAAGATAGTAATTCAACTTTGAGAAATAATTCCAATATTTAACCAGCCCCTGTTCTCTCTACAACAAAACCAAAATTTAAGAAAGACAGTAAATAGAAGCAAGAAAATCTTCAAAAGACCCTGAACGCCTTTCAGGATATTGCCACTTTCAAACTTGTTTTACATGAGAGTTACAAAATAAAATGACACTTAAAAAACAAAATATAAGCAAACAGAGTAAATAAACAATACTTCTAAAATATACATAAGTATAGTTAACTGACTTACCAAATAAGTGACATTTATTTTTTGAATGATAAAACTCTAGAACGTGCAGATAGACCGTGTCTGAGGCAAATGGTACAAAAAGTTCCCTTCTGACAGATAGCAGCCTCACCTGGAAAATAACAGTAATAAAAATTATTTTTATAAAAATATGTAGTTATCACTTCTTTGACACCTGTCTGTGCATTTAACTTTCATGATCTCATTTCATGAATACTAACAGTTTAACACAATGATTTACCATAGAAAGTGCATTGAAAATAAACACACACTTTTTAGAAGCTCAACAACAAAACAGAATAAGGAAATGTCATGTTCTCTCATTCTCAGTCCTCTGAGAACTAGTCTGAGGGGGACAAAACATCTAACTGCCATCAAAAAAAGAGAGAGAGAGATAAGAAAATAATACAAATGATCAAAACACAAAAAGATGTTCAACTTCTAGTCATTACTATAGTTCTAACTTTTAGGATGGCACATGGTGGATGTTCAATAAGAATATGCTGAGTGGGGCTTCCCTGGTGGCGCAGTGGTTGAGAGTCCGCCTGCCGATGCAGGGGACACGGGTTCGTGCCCCGGTCCGGGAAGATCCCACATGCTGTGGAGCGGCTGGGCCCGTGAGCCATGGCCGCTGAGCCTGCGCATCCGGAGCCTGTGCTCCGCAACAGGAGAGGTCACAACAGTGAGAGGCCCACATACCGCAACAAAACAAAACAAAACAAAACAAAAAAACAATATTTTGAGTGGATGGCTGGATGGATGAATAAAAAATACACCTTATCAGTTAGCAAAGAAAAAATAAATCACATCAGTTAGCAAGGAAATCCAAAATAAATATATTATTTTACCCATCAAACTGGTAAAGATGAAAAAAAGAGCAATAAGGTCCTGTTTTGGTAAGTACAGACTAAACAGGACTCCACACTGTTCATGGAGGTACACATTTTATTAATGCAGAAAGCATTTTAACAATATTTCAAAATATTTTATATATCAAAGGACCTTTGGACCAGGCAATTCTCCTTCAAAGAATGTGTCATAAGGAAATAACTGGATTTCTACAGGATACTTATTCCACAACTATTTATAATAGTGAAAAATTATAAATAACTTTAATGTCCATCTATATGGGCCAGGTTAAATTATGGTACATTTATACTATGGAAAACAATACAGACATTAAAAAGAATAATGTGGGGCTTCCCTGGTGGCGCAATGGTTAAGAATCCGCCTGCCAATGCAGGAGACACGGATTCAAGCCCTGGTCCGGGAAGATCTCACATGCCGCTGAACAACTAAGCCCGTGTGCCACAACTATTGAAACCCGTGCGCCTAGAGCCTGTGCTCCCAACAAGAGAAGCCACCACAATGACAAGCCTGCACACCACAACGAAGAGTGGCCCCCACTCGCCGCAACCAGAGAAAAGCCCGCGTGCAGCAACAAAGACCCAACACAGCCAAAAATAAAATAAGTAAAATAAATTTATTTAAAATAAAAGAATAATGTAGTTCTACAAATATTGGCATAAAAATCTACAAACCATATTAATAAGTTTTTAAGAAATGGAGAATTTGACAAGAAGTGTTCAAAAACAATATAAAGAAAACTTTAAAACATTCCTGAAAGACAAAAAGTAGATTTGAACAAATGGAAAGATATTCCTCATTCTTGGATGGAAAACTCAACATCATAAAGATGTCAGTTCTTCCTAAATTAATTTATAAATGTAATGTAATCCCAATAAAAATCTCAATATGAGCAAGCTTTTTTACAGAGACAGACAGCTGATACTAAAATTCAACAGAAAAATAAACTTGTAAGAATAGCCAATAAAACATAAAAAATTTTAAAGCTGGCCCTTGATATACTATCAAGCCTCTATAATTAAAAGTGTGATAATGATGCAGGAATAAACAAACTGGGATAAAAGAACAGAAGTCCAGAAATAAACTCAATGGAAACTTAATATAGGATAAAGGTGGCATTTCAAGATATTGGGCAAGATTGTACTTTTTAAAGAAAATATGTTGAAACAAGTAATTAGCATCTAGAAAAAGATTAGTAACTCATACATTATGCATTAAAATAATTCCAAATGAATCAGGGATCCAAATGTAACAACTAAAACCATACGAGTACTAGAAGAAAACGTGTGTGAATTCCTCTTTACCCTGGGTAAAGGGAAAGGTTTTCTAATTATAACCCAAAATTCAGATGCAACAAAAGACTGAAAAATTGGACCACATAAAAGCTCAAACACATGCACAGATGCACAGACACACAGACACAGACACACACACACAGTAAAAGACAACTGACAAACTGGGAGAAAAATATGTGCAACATATATCACTATAAACAGCTAATATACCTAATATATATATATTTATTTATATACATATATTTTTAAAGACACTTAAAAATTGAGGGAGAAAACATCAAAAACCTGATAGAAAAATGAATTTAAAAATACAAGACAATTCACACAAAAAGATATTAAAATGGCCTTTATATATTCTATGAAAAGATCATTAACTACTACTAAGTGAATATTAAAACTGTATCGAGATACTATCTCGAACTATAAACAGGTTAGCAAAAATTTAAAAGCATACCAACATACTCTGACGATGAGGCTGTGGGAAAACTCATGCACTGCTGGTGGGAATTCAAATTCGTACAACCCCTACAGAAAGGGATTTAGCAATACTTAAGAAAACTATATTTGCTTTTAAACTTTTGACCCAACTCTCCTATTTTAGGGATTTACCCAAACATACATTTCCAACGTACAAAAATATATATAAACAAGGTTAGTACCGCAGCAATGTTTATAAATTCAAAATACTGGAAATGGCCATAGAGAATGGTTAACATCCTCACAATAGAGTACTATGCAACCCTAAGAGGGAGGAAAAGACAAAGGGAGGGAGGGAGGGAGGGCAAGCTCTACAAATTGATATGGAATGGACACCAAAATATATTTAAGTGAAATGTTAAATTAAAAAAGCAAAGTACAAAAGACTATCCATAGTATGCTAAATTTTGCGTAAAAAGTTAAGAAATAAGAAAATAAACGTGTATCTCCTCATTCCTGGGGGAAAAACACACAAGAAGGATAATTCAGAGAAAGATAAGATTGGTTACCTATAGAGGATGGGTGGAAACAGGGTGAAAAGGAAGAAGAAATGGGTGACAATGCTTTGAGTATATATATATATATATATATATTTTTAATACAATTCTGACTTTTGGAACCATATTAATGTTTCACATGCTCAAAAATAAATAAGATCAATTAGGATGGGGAGAAAAACTTAGAATACAATAGAAATGAACTGTATTTCAAATAACTAACATAACCACGTTATAGGAAGAATGTGGGGGAGAGAAAACTAATCCAAGTAACTTCTGAACATGGTTTCTTGCTCAGTGATGTCCAACAGAGAGACGATGGATGCCACATATGAAATTTAATATTTTCTAGTAGCCACATTAAAATAAAAATAGGTAAAATTAATTTTATAAATTTATTTTACCTAACATATCTAAAATATTTCAACATATAACCACCATATTATTTAAATATTAACGAGGTGTTTCACATTTCTTATTTCATACTAACTTTACAAACTGTGTACAGTTCACACTCACAACACATCTCAATTCATGTGGTTAGTGGCTACTTTATTGGCCAGTGGAGATTTAGACTATATGCCCATAGGGTACAGGAAAAAACTATAAACAAATATTGAACTCTACTTACTAGGTGTCTTTTAAGTAGTGGTATGAGCTAGCAATTCTTAAACTATTTTCTGGTATTCCAGGATTAGGCCAATAAGTAAAAACATGAATAATGGGGGCAGGTTTCTCACTTTTGGAACAGGGAGTTATAAATACAGAATGAATAAACCCTGTAGTGTTGGACTGGAATCAGAGGTATCAATATAAACTCATTGCTTTCAGTAGACAGATGAAGATGTATATGAGCGTGAGTGGACACACACACATATCACATATTTCTATTTCCTAGATGTCTACTGAAAGGGCCTAAAGGCAATGATACTGACACCCAGCAGCACTGTCAATGGACATCTAGAGTCCAGTACCTGGCTTATAGAGCCATTCTCTACTAAAACAAACCAGAGCTCTTTGAGGAAATAACTTATTGCAGGACTCAGGCTGGAAGAGTGCAAGATAAGCCTAGAACATCTTGTAGTAAAAAGTGAGGAAGTGCTCCAAGAATGACAAGGGCAAGGCAAAAGGAGACAGGAATCAGCCTGAATGGGGCTCCCACTGGCCAAATCAGGAACAGCGTCAAAATAAATAATGAAATAAAGTATTATAAATAAGTGTATTAGACATGATGGAATTAGAAAATCGCCATTTAGGAACCATCATGAAAATGATTCAGGCAGAAATCACCAATGGATACCAAAGTTAGTGAGCAAAAGTTCAAGGAGTAACAGGATATTTATAAAATCTCAAAGTATTTTTGCAAAGATGCCTCAAAATTACAAACAAAATGTCAATGCACTTAATCCCACTGAACTGTATACTTAAAACTGGTTAAAGTGATAGTTTCTGGCCTTACATTTCGGTCTTTAATCCATTTTGAGCTTATTTTTGTGTATGGTGTTAGGGAGTGTTCTAATCTCATACTTTTACAGGTACCTGTCCAGTTTTCCCAGCACCACTTATTGAAGAGGCTGTCTTTTCTCCACTGTATATTCTTGCCTCCTTTATCAAATATAAGGTGACCATATGTGCGTGGGTTTATCTCTGGGCTTTCTATCCTGTTCCATTGATCTATATTTCTGTTTTTGGGCCAGTACCAAACTCTTAGAGGAAAACATAGGCCGAACACTCTAGGACATAAATCACAGCAAGATCCTTTTTGACCCACCTCCTAGAGAAAGGGAAATAAAAACAAAAATAAACAAATGGGACCTAATGAAACTTAAAAGCTTTTGCACAGCAAAGGAAACCATAAACAAGACCAAAAGACAACCCTCAGAATGGGAGAAAATATTTGCAAATGAAGCAAATGACAAAGGATTAATCTCCAAAATTTACAAGCAGCTCATGCAGCTCAATATCAAAAAAACAAA